TATGAATATTAATATAAGTTGTATGAAAAAATCTAAGTACTAGATGAAACGATATGAAAATTTCTAAGCAGTTCATTGTCCTTCATATAAAAAATAAATATACCATCGAATGAGATATAATTTCACCCATCGGACACACTCTTTACATACGTACACTTTTTCGTCGAAGCTGTCTGTGAAGAACTGCGCCCAGCCGGTGACGAAACCCGGAGCCCGAAATACCCACAGGAAGACGAGTGTGCTGAAGAGGACGAGCACCACGATCTCGTGCTGAGTAATTCGCCCGAGGGAGTCGTAGTGCTCCTGAAGGAACTTCTTCATGGCCCGGTCGCGCTCCCGGCTGTGCGTCTGTATCCGGTTGCGACTGTTGTAGGATTTTACCATTGTTGGTGTTGCTGTCGTTATTGTTATCATTACCATCATCAGGATTGTTATCATTATTATTCAACAACGGTAGACGCTGATCATGCGAAACCTAAAGGAATGACCTTCAGCAGATGCCGAGTGATAATTACATACACGCAAAAACAAACACAATCTGTTTCTGGAATTATATCAAAGTGCCGTAGAAAATTACAACGAACAAGGAAACGTTTATACGTCTCACGATTATGTAACACAAAAAAAATCATTCTTACCCACAAAACATGTAGAGAATCTGAAGCCAGCACCATCCAAGCACCATGTTGAGGATCATCCCGGGAACGTTAAAGAGCATCCAGGTGGCGAAATTTAGCTCCGTCGGTTCGCTGAAGGTGCTGCGGGAGGGGCGAGAGGGGCGAGAGGGGTCAACGATCATCCCTCAAAAATTGGTCGTTAAAACCCCAATGCTAAGTGAATCGCTTTAGGTCTTTTATGGTCTGTCAGCTGCTGCCTGATTTTCTCAATAAAGATATCGAGAACATGAAGGGCTCTGAATCGAGAGCATCTAGGGCTCTAATCTAAGAGCATTGTTCTCTGATCCCAGACCGCACGAAAGTATATATATTCTTAAGTTACCTATCATCTACAAATGAAAGAAATATCACGCATGAAACTGCCAATCCAACAGACTGACATGTTCTTTCTTTGGACTTCCCCTTCGTGTTAATCAATTAGAAACGTCTTGGCAATAGCCCGCGCCTCTAACAGACTCGTGCAAACTTGAGGTCACAGATTCGGTTCAGTTGTCACACGCGAATCAAAGTGTGAGAACCGGGACCTGCTGTTACCGTCGCAATCTGGGGCCGGATTCACTAACATACGATCGTAACGCATTTACCAGCGGTCATTTACCATTGCGTTTACCAGTGATGGCAAAGCGGGATTCATGAAGAAATGGTAATTTGGATATGCTGAGTTACAATCGTAAATCGACTCATTCTAATGGTAGCCAACAGAGGGCTCTAGTAAAGCAATTCAACCAATCAGCGAGCGCTATACATAATCTTTTAGGTTCCTTCGGCCAATCACGTAACATGTAAACAGAACGGGACACAGCAAGATTGTTTAAATAATCGTCACAGATAAAACACTAATTAAGCACAGAAAAAAAATGATTATAGCCATCATGTTGGATATATATTTACTGTATAGATAAGAACTAATACAAACACTGTTATATCAATATATTACTGTTTACCGCAAACCAAAGAGACAGTCCAAACAGCTTTTTATTTATATATTTTCATCATTGTTAAACAAAGAACCGGACCAAACAAAATTTTTATTCATCGCCATTTGTTGTCAAGGAAATATTTCAAGCTTATCCTTACCCCATGCACTTTGGAGTTTATTTTCAAAATGCCGACAGTTTATATATCAGCAATGTAGTTTTTTCTATAGCATTTGTAATAATTATGTCAGAGAATTCTTTAAGAGTTCACTTATTTATCGGTTCCATGCATTCTAGTATAATGTAGGCCTATAACTTTACGAGAATTTGTGTGGATTTTATTCTTGCTAGTTTCATGTGAAATTTGCATTTCTTCACTATGTCCGCATTGTGATATCTGTTTGCCATCATATTAGTTACATCAGGTGTAAAAACAAACCCAAAACTTTGCTTAGATATTGATTATTTGACGAGATAACACGTGATGACATCGTCTTCCCAGAAGTTACCAGTGCTCTGACCACTGGTAAAATTTACCATGGTAACTCCGATGGCAAGTTGTTAGTGAATACCACCGCTGTTTGTTTATCATGGTAACTATAGTTATCAGTGATTTTACCATCGTAAGTATATTAGTTAATCCGGGCCCTGGATAGGAGTTATTCACTCAAGGAGAGAGAGGAACCTTTGGAGGATGCCCATGACGACGAGGTTGGGGCCGCAGCCGAGGGGCGAGCCCGTGCCGCCGATGTTGGCCGCGAACGCCACCGACAGGAAGAACATTTTCCTGACGGCGTCCGAGGTGGTGTCGTCTGCCTCCGTCAGGACGCTCAGCTCGGGCACTCGAGACACCGCCTCCTTCTGATCCAGCCGCGGCGTCGCCTCGTCCGACCTATGGGTTTAGGATATATATGTACATATGTGTGTGTGTGTGTGTGTGTGTGTGTGTGTGTGTGTGTGTGTGTGTGTGTGTGTGTGTGTGTGTGTGTGTGTGTGTGTGTGTGTGTGTGTGTGTGTGTGTGTGTGTGTGTGTGTGTGTGTGTTCTGTGTGTGTGTTGTGTGTGTGTGTGTGTGTTGTGTGTGTTGTGTGTGTGTGTGTGTGTGTGTGTGTGTGTGTGTGTGTGTGTGTGTGTGTGTGTGCGTGTGGTGCGTGTGGTGTGTGGTGTGCGTGTGTGTGTGCGTGTGGTGTGTGTGTGTGTGTGTGTGTGTGTGTGTGTGTGTATGTGTGTGTGCGTGTGCGTGTGCGTGTGCGTGTGCGTGTGCGTGTGTGTGTGGTGCGTAATCTTTCAATTCGTCTGTTCATATATGTGTTTACACTTAAGAAATACACAGATACTTGACAGTCACCGTGAAAATCATGCCTCGTTATCCATTCTGTTCACATAGAGCACATTCGACCACAAGGCAGAAAAGCACAAAACGTGATTATGTAAAGGGAGATTAAAACAAAACTACAATACATATGCTTTTTAATTAAAAAAGAAAAAAAAGACATAATCCCAAAAGCAAGCATATTAGTCCAAAGGCAGACAAGAAGAATAAAAATAAGAACAAAGAGCTGTTTAACGATAGGACAAGCTATCATCTTCAGCAAAAGAGGATTCATATGGTGGGGCAGGCCGTCCCAAAGATGTGAGGGGCGGGCAGTGGGAAGGTGGGCGGGCAGTGGGAAGGTGGGGAGGTGGGGCAGGCCGTCCCAAAGATGTTGAGGGGCGGGGCAGTGGGAAGGTGGGAAGGGCGGGCAGTGGGAAGGCGGGAGGGGGGCGGGCAGGGGGGCGGGCAGTGGGAAGGGGGGCGGGCAGTGGGAAGGCGGGAAGGCGGGCAGTGGGAAGGCGGGCAGTGTGGGAAGGGGGCGGGCAGTGGGAAGGGGGGCGGGCAGTGGGAAGGTGGGAAGGTGGGCGGGGCGGAACCTTATCCAATTATCAGGGGAGACTTAGGCTTGCCGGCTCTTATTTAGGATTTATCCTTAAATGCGCATAAATCTATATATTACATAGAAAATTCATACTCGCATGGCGAGCTTCATATGAACATATTTTGCAATATCATATATATATATATATATATATATATATATATATATATATAGGTATATAGGATAGTATAGATAGATAGATATAGATATAGATTTATGCACGATTATACAAGTTATTCTATCATCACTATGGAAGTTTCATGGGTCTTTCCAAAGATAATAAGACGCTATCACTGCATCCCACTTGCCACACACATGTTCTAAAACAAAGAAAAATGCACATCATCTCAAAAGCAAGCAAGAGGGATCAACGTCTTAGCAATGGAATAGACAGTTATCTTCAGCTACAAAGAGAAAGAGAGAGTGAACATATAAATATAATATACAATACTTATACAATAAAAAAAAAAAAAAAAAATAATATAATATATATATATTATATATATATATATAATATATATATATATATATATATTTATATATATATATACATATATATATATATACATAAATATATATATATATATATATATATATATATATAATATAATACATATATATAATTATATATATATATATATATATATATATATATAATATATGTACAGTATGCGGTAATATATATTTCAGTACACTTTCGTGGGTCCGCACTTTTGTACATCTGGCAACCAATCGAAGTAACATAGCGTAAATAGTATTTTTTGTGAATGATGCTAAAACCTACGTAGTTTGTAACAAAGAGTATGATTGGTCGAATGTAAAATAACCAATGAGTATATTAATGAAATATTTTTTGAAAACTAAGTAAGCCATTTAATCTTCCGTTTTCTTCAAATAAGTTATCACAAAACATGTAATACTAGTTATTGTTGATTTTTGTCGTTGGATAATCCTCAATTGCGATATCCTCGAATTGTTTGTTTATCGAAACGGCAACACCTATGACGTGGAGGCGGCATTTCCCCAAACACAAGAAGATTTAGAGGTTTCTTCCTTTGGCGTCCATCCTGAAAAAGGTGTCAGCTTGGCAGCCTCGGTTTGACCTCGGATTTTTCATGTTATTATGACGTGTAAAGACCATCGGACATGTATTTTTTTTCAGCGACAGTGGATATTCAGGAATTGATGAATATTCATGGCATAAGAGATGAAATATACGACTTCGTGTTATTTTCTACATGTTTCCGGGAAATTATTACTTCTATGATAATGTATAAAAGAGAATGAATTTAATGTAAAGGTTTGGATATGCTAAATATCATCTGCACCTACGCAATATATTGCATTACATTGCACTAAGCAAATAGAAATAAAAATGGATAGATGATCAATAACAAACTGACCGAGAAATTCCCATTTCAATTAGAATGAACAAGATATTACAACACAAGTATTGGGAGTTGGTTCTAAGATTTTTTGCGATTCACCCCT